CGCCTCCTCCCCACCCCCCCCGTCAGTAGAGGCTGCACGTTCGGTTCATTATCTATATTTCGTCTGCCATGATTAAAACTGTGACATGACTGCTGAGAGTGAGGTCGAAAAAAAATTGAAATTTGTTCTGTTGACACTGTCATAAAATGTTAAAATACGGGTCACAAATGGACAAAAAAAAAATCAGAGTTGATCTGAGGATTGTTTTCTCCTGTTTTTCGTCTGTTGCTGGTTTTAACCTTCAGTGATTTTTCATTACCTGTGTTTAGTTGAAAGAGTTGATCTTAACAGACTGAACGTCTTCAGGGTCAGTTCTACAGACGTGCTGTCATTTTTTCTAGACTTTCTCTGACCAGCCTCACCGAGTCCAACCTGGTCTTCGTCCTTCTAAACTTGTCTAAACTTTTATAACTGCATGACGCACTCGTCATGGCTGAGTGTGTAGATATAAACAGTGAGAGCAGATGAGCTGCTGTGTGTGTGTGTGTGTGTGTGTGTGTGTCGCAGTGTGATAAAGGCCCAGGCTGTTGTTGTGGTTCAGGACGCAGGAGATGACACTCGGTGTCAGATAAGACATGATACCGTGGGTGAAGGGCCGCGGCTCCAGAGTGGATGACGTGTCAGAGATTTGAAGCTCTATCTGAGTGGACACACTTAAACCCGCTGCTGATACAGGCGCGTGTAAAAACGTACGACCCGAGGTGTCCGAAGAGATCCACTGATGCTACGTCGTCCGTAGAGTCTCTCAGGTCTGTTATCTAAAGAGGTTGGTTGTAAGAAACTGCACTTCCTATTGGAGCTTGAACGACGTTTCATTCCTCAAATGAGGAACTTCATCAGTTTCTGGTTGATGTAAGAGGGAACACTATTAGTAATACTTCTCTGGACCAGTCTTTTCTCCACTTGACAGAGGAGTAACATGACAGTCACATGTGATCATCTCTGATCTTGATCTCAGGACGGTTCCATGTCTCTGTGCATTTCCACTGTGAAGGTGTGATCATCTCTGATGGTTCCATGTCTCTGTGCATTTCCACTGCAGACATGGGGAAACATTCTGTTACTCTGTTGTGCCTCCCAAGTAGCAAAGACTTCCTGGGCATTGAAGTGTTGTTGGGTTGAAGCTCGTCGCCCACGCCTTCACTTTTAGGAGCCTAGATTTGGATATTACGCCCGAGCGACTCTGTCGGCCGTGTTTTGCATATTTAAACAGCAGGGAACTCATTTACATAATCTTTACCAGACTGGTTCTGTTGTTATGCAAGAGTCACCAGTGTTGAAAGGTCTTGGTACTGTTGGGAGTCAGAATTGTGTCACAAATTTTACAGGATGAAAATCCAAGATTAAAATCCAGTTTTCAAAAACCTGTAGATTTTTTTTAATCTCACAAATTAAAGTTCAATTTCTGCAACACCACAGGAAGCTGAATAAGACAGAGAAGTAAAAGTGAAAACACACTGGAAATATTGCTTAGGGCTCCAACCAATTACATTTTGAGTTAGATTAATGACATGGTAACTCTAGATTAATCGAGATTAATCCAAATAAAACAACAGTTCAATATCAATACAAAACAATTCAATGAACTAATGGACACATAACTCAAATTAAAACCAAGATTTTACTCCCAAAAAAACTTTATATCGACAACTTATTCAGTGACCCAACACGACTCCTGCGTTCGACTCTTGCATCCCGACCTAGTTTTATTGTTATTCTCTTTAACAGCAAAAATGAGAAAAAGATGTCTCGTCCCCGTCTGCCTTTGACCAGAGAGATGAATTAGAAAAATGCTCAAAGTCGGCACATCTGCAGCTTCAGCTCCGAGCTGTTGTTCTGCATCAGCGTTTTTTTTCTGTGTCTGCAGATGAACTTTAGTCGTAGAGTCTCAGCGGTTTAAAAATAGACACAGCACAAAGTTTAAAAAAAACCCAACTCTGTGGATTTTATGGACGTTTGTGTGTTGGCTATTAGCTGACATTGTTGGGCTGTGAACAGCAGAACTGGAGCCGACAGAAAAATGTGGCTTGAATTAGAAAAAGAGGCGAAATCAGCCGTGTCTCCCACGTGTTGATCAGACTCACGCACACACATCTCAGTGCTGTGAACCAAGCAACCGGACATCCGATGATGACTGGCAGCGATCAGGTCACAGCATGCACCCACGCTTATAATGGTAAACAGTGTGTGTGTGTGTGTGTGTGTGTGTGTTTGCGACACGTCAGTCTGCTGCTAAACCACAAATGTCATCCTGACTTCTTTTTCTCGCACATAAACATGCAAATGGCATTTCCAGAAAAGTGGGTACGCTCCTCATCTCACTTCAGCTTTTTTTACGACAAAGAAAAAAAAAAAAAGAAAGAAGCTGTTGATCTCGGTTGATCGAGGATAAAATGATTCAAAATGAATCTGAAGGATGAAAAAAGGGAACTTGAAAAAAGTTCCATTCTGAAATGTGCTGCTTGATTAGGAACAGATGTAATTAGCAAGTTTATTTTATAAAAGGAGCATCAACCCAAATCTCTGCATAGCGCCCTCTACAGGACAGGATGGAACATGTCAGCTCCTTATTTACAAGCACCTCCCTGCACTTTGTGGACAATCTTTATCTTTAACATTTATTACATATAATAAAAGTAAATGTAACTGATGTTGGGAGTACTGCAGTATTACTTCTTACTTGGTAAGTTATTAACAGCTTCTACAGTAAAGGCCCATTAATCTCACCACACACACACACACACGCACACACACGCACTGGCACCTTTCCATTATAATGATGGGTGTAGTGTCTGATAAGCTGTAATGCGTCTCTGGTCAATCATTAACTGTAATTAATGTCAGGCATCAAGTCACTGACGCGAAGACTGAAACACTGATGGAAATGAGGCAAAAACCAAAAAGTCAAACCTCCTCAGTGGAACCAAATCAGCAAATGTGCTTTTGGTTGGACTTTGAGTTTTGTTGATCATGTGACCAGGCTGAAGCCATACTCTGTCATTGATCACACCTCTGCTTTTTTTTTTTTTACCACAGACAGAGCTACAGAATCTGCACTGTTTTGCAAAGAATAT